AGCTTGGAACTAAAATTAAACCCCACTTCTAAAATGGAGAAGATATGAGTGAGCATAATGATACTATGAAAACTGGCTTTTATGCAATTCCTCTTAAATGCTGGGTTTTGCTGATGCTGTTTAAATATATTCAACGCAGATGTAAATGGCTGTACTTTTTAAGAATATCAGAAGTAAAGTTATGAGCCTTGTAATAAATGTATTATGATTATTCAGCAAGTTCAGGAGTACTAATAACAGCACTGCATTAATTATATACCTTAACTTTGAACACTTATCATCTGCTGGACATTATTTTAAGAAGTTTTACACATGTAGCCTTAGTCAACCCTCACAATACTCCTATGATGTAAATATTATTACCTTCACTTGGCAGATAAGAGACCTGGACACAAAATGTTTAACAAATCTGCCCGAGGTCATAGAGCCAGTGAAGAGTCAGTAGTAAGATTGAGGAAACACTTGTAAAATTATCCCAGCCAGATCTACCCATGGAAAGTGTACACAGCTGTCGAGAGTCTGAGTTGAAGGTGCCAGACGGTCTACTCAAATACATCACCTTCACTAGCTTACAACACTGCCTGAAGTTCCCACTAACAAAGAGAGTTCTTTGTGCTGAGATACTGCCTAGGCTACATTTTAAAAGGTACACCTAAGAGGAATTGCCTGTCAAAGCTAGGAAGACAAGGTTGACATCTTTGAGAGAAATTCACGTTATAAAGGAAAATATTGAAAAGAGCTGATGAAGGTAAAAACACACTTCTACTCAATCCTAGCAAAAGGGAGGGGCAATGAAGGAAAAAAATCACCAGATTTGACTTTGCTTAGATATAGAAATTGTCCTTATTGTCTGTTCATTTTTTAAGTATAATTTAACTGGATAATTAAATCTTTAACATGACAACTAGGAGAGATTTAGTGACTAGAAAAAACCCCATGTCTAATTTATATCTTCTGCATACATTTTTTAAGTCAAAGTCCTGCTGTGGGCCCTATTGACATATGAAATTTCTAATACATGTGTGTGACTACAAGACATCTTAAGATTCTTGTAAGATTCCCACAAGTATCTGTGAATGCTCCAAAATTGTCAGATTTGAGTAAGACTGTTCTCACACAGCTGTACTTACTATCAGCTAAACTGGTGTCTATTGGAGCTAAGCCATCTTTAAAAGCTAAGAGAATATGACACATGATAGTTCGGCCTGTGTATTCTAATGAACATCAGAATGACATTCATGTTGGTATTTTAGAAACCAAAATGAAAATAATCAAGGAGAGGATATCACAAACAGACCTCTGGTTTGCTAGAATTGCTCATTGCCTTTTCATTGTTTAGATAACATGTAACATTTGGGATTAGGACTTTGACTAAATAATATGTATCAATAAAGTGAGTTGGGTATGTCCATAGATGATCTCAGGAAAGAGGCTACTGGAATGGCCAGTCTTCTAATTAAAAATGTTTTCCAAGTGAACAGACTGCTCAGACTTGAGCTATTACCAGGCTCTTTTCAGTTCTTAAAACATTTTCTTCACTCTGTGTGTAACAACAAATGTGGGCCAATTGCTGTGAGTTAATTGAAAAGGATTGTTTTCTAGTTGCCAAGAAACGGTGCTTTCTTACATTATGCAGGCCATTATGTGCACAGATCGAGCTTCCTGATTTTTTCTTTTAGAGTTTGAGAATATAGGCTGCTGTGATTCAGCTGTCCCTTGAGGAGAGCAGCACAGATCAGGGAGGCTTACGAGGGTCTTGTTCCATTTCAATTCTCCAGGTAAGATCTGGGTGTAAAGAGCTACCTTCTTTCTTCACTCAACTTTTCTTAAGCCTACTTAACTGCTTTTATATTCAGCAAACAGGCAATTCTAAAATAATGTGCTTTGTTTGGGAAATACTTGTGAAATCAAGCTAAATTGATCTTCCTTTTTTAATATACTTGAATATTCTGAGAAAAAGTTAAGATAATATCATTGAGACTCTTTCTAAAGTGTGATTCCTCTTGGTTTCAGAGTAGAAAATACATGCAAAGCAAGAGGTTCTGAGTGTGAATAGGATTGAAATAATATTATTGCTATGAAAAAAATATCATCATTTCTACCTGTAGAAAAGACATCAAATTTTATTTGACTGGTTCTAACTGTGAAATGAGCTTTATATTTTATGAACTTCAAAAAGACATGTAGATCTTCTACATGAATATAACTGGTACATAATGTCTTCTTCTCACACATACAAAGCAATCTATAGAATTTTCCACTTTCTCCTCTCTAGGAAGGAGTTGGCAAGGTAAGAGGTGGTGGCGATGGCTTGCTCTTTTGTCTCTCTTATCTTTCAGCTTTCACCATGATATCAGACTCCAGGTTTTTATTATTAAGACCAATTAGAATTCACGATACACTGGCAGCTATTTGTTTTTCTTTATTCTAATATTGGAGGCCCTAGGCACGTAGGCAAGCATTCAGTAGTGAGCGACACTTACCAGTCCTCTCTGAGTTTTGTTTGAGGGTTGGTGGTCAGTCATCATTTTGAGAGAACAATATAAGCCAGACTGGCTTCAAGCTCTTCATCACACTGCCTCAATAGCCTTAGTGCCAGCGTGACAGGCATTTTGATATTTTCTTGATGGTTTTGTCTTGTGATTAAGATAAAATCAGGGTCCTATACTCAGTAGGAACTTACTAATTACAAACAAACACAAAGTTCTACCTTTATCCTTAGGACTCCAGACAACATTCCCAATTAGTACCTCCCAGACTCTAAGAGCTCATTGTGGGTGACAGTATGGCTTAAATCAAATCACTTCTACTGTTAAGGAGTTCGTGCTTTCTTAAGCACAACCTGGACTCTGTATTCTCATGAACTTGCACTTAAAGTTACATTTCACACAGTTTGTGCTTTGAGAATAGTGACAACTCTAAAGAGGAACCTAGTTAAATGTTGTTATTTATTTTTTTCTATGTTGTATTTTCTTCTCTCTTGCATATGTCTTCATTTCCTTAGGTATATATTTCCTTTAAAAGGAAGAGCACCACAAGGTTAAAAAATTAGATACGTTTCCATGTGTTCAGGGTTGGAAGTTACCTAAGTATAACTATGACATCTGTAATGTGAGCAGTTGTCATTGTTAATTCTGTAAAGAAAATTGTTTTAGCATGCCTTTACCTGACAATGTTATCTGAATTTTCCACAAATGAACCAAGACTTTCATAAGGAAATTATGGCATGAAATGATGTTGATGAAATGACTGCCTATTAATTTAATTTTAACTCATTATACTAGTCTCCTTTTTGAACTCCTAAACATTTTTAATTAACCAAAGCTGCCACAGTCTCATCAGCTATAACAAACTTGTCACACTGTTTTTCTGACTTAGTAGTCATAAAGTGGAAGCAGTCCACATAAACTGATGCATGGCTTGTGGTTGTCTGTGCTTAGAGTGACTTACTCTGTTAGAACTGGTGGAGGTTACATTTGTCTTTGAAGATGAACTTAAACAATTCCATTCTGGTTTACAACTCCCTCTTCATCTTTTAAAAAGTGCTGTTTGCCCCGAAACCATACTTTAACTTTATTGTCGGGGTGGTGCTTAAAATAGCTATGCTGGTAAACTGTTGCTTAGTCATTATTTTTGTAATTATTAGAGCAAGGTGATAAATGAGTATGTGGAGGGGGTGGAGTACAGCAACATCAGGTTAGATACAGTATTTTAGTGGAAGACTGTCCATATCTAGCATACTATTGCTTCTTAGGGTAGCCGAATAACTGTAAGGTTTTAAATATAATTATACAGGGACCAAATAATACTGCTATAAAAGGCTTGATTACCATTTCTAGATGGTATTTTGGCTTTGCTGTTGTTAAATATTGGTGAGTTATTCATACTGACTGAATGCAAGATAGGTGGATTTTGATGGATTCCACTGCAGGCATTCAGCCTTTTTCAAATTTCCTTATGAAGCAGCTCATCATTTTTATAACATCACTTCTTTATTAAAATGCTCTTTGAAAATTTGATCATCTGCTTTATGAGACATCTCTCAAGTAGTGGTTCAAAGACGTATGAAGACATGCCTGCGCCTTTAATTGTTAATTTCCCCCATGTTTTTTAATATTTTATTTACTTGCTTTAGAAATTCAGAGTAATAAAGTCCCTTCTTACTCTTTGCCTCTCTGAAATGTTCTCTTTATAGCAGAAGGTTGTTTGCCTAAATGGAGAAAATATATGCAAGTTGTAATAACTCAGATTGCCCTGTTGTTTATACATGCTTGGTCCCTTCTTTGCTGCAGTTCTCACAAGTCAGGATGGGATTGTTTTCTTTCCACTTCAACGTTCTTGTTAAAGTGAGATTTCAATTCTTATCAAAAGTGCAATGATATGACTCTGAACTGCTTTCCTACCCATTTCCTTATTTTCTATAAGCACGTCAGAAGCCTCAGAGTCTCCTCACCCTCTCTCTTCTGTTGGGTGGTTCTTAGTCTGACAGAGCCTAACATGTTTTTCAGTTGTCATAACATGAAGCAGAGTAATCCTGGCTAGTGTGTAGAGACCAGGAGGGCTGCTGAACATCCACAGTACAGGATACGCCAGCCCCTTCCCCTCCCCCCCCAAAAACAAGAAGTGTTCAGTTCAAAATGTCCATAATAAGAAATCCTGCCCAACAGGCCCCACACATCCTACTGTAGCTAAATGCATGGGGAAAGGTCAGAATTTTGTTTTGAGAACATCTTGAAATCTCATGTGACTTCATTCCTTTTATTTCAAATATTGGCCTACAGAATCATCTCTATTTTCTCATGGAAGCTTCTGGAACCTGTCTATTTGAGAATAATGATCTGACTGGATTGTCCAGTTTTCCCTTCCTTGCTCATTACCGGCACGAAAGTGACAATGATCACATTATCTTCATGCTCCTGTCATGTCTGTATTACTAAGCCCTCCTTTGTCTGATAGACTTGTGGATAGGGAAAGATTCACTGGGGCAGGACAATAGTCACCTGTTTAATCACGGTGCTCCTGGGTGTCCGTGTCCACAGTCTTCCTTTAATAATCACTTATTCATTCTACAGATACTTAGTGAGCACTTCTCATTTTCCAGAAAATACTTGTGTTGGAAATTCTGCAGTGAATAAGATAAAATTCATTTTTAATGGTGAATATTTTCCAGTAGAAATCAGAAAAATCCCAAAAAGCACTGTTTCCTTCAAACATTATTTATACTGTTCTGTCACATATTAAAAACTAAACATAATTAACTACTATCAAGACAGAGCCTTATAGTTAGCTTAAAGTTCTTCATACCCTTTCTTCTACAACAAACAAACAAAACAAACACCCACGCCCACCATCACCCCACCAAACCTCTCTTTCTCAGGAACTATCAGAACCTTAGTTCCTAAACTATGCTTTCTGCAGATGTCTCTCTATTTTTGGTTACAACTTACTTGGTGTACAGGAGAGAGGAGACTGACTTTGAAATAAATGTTGAATGAAGGGAAATAAAATATTTGATGAACTGAGATACTGTGCGTGAGAAGAGTCAAATATGGCTGTAAGAGGGAAAACTGCTATAAAAGTAAAGATGGAAAATTATAAAAGAGGCCAGTCATTCAGTCATGCTTGGAACTTGTTTCTATGCTACACCAGAAAGAGATAAAATCACACACACACACACACACACACACACACACACACACACACACAGAGAGAGAGAGAGAGAGAGAGAGAGAGAGAGAGAGAGAGAGAGAATATGAGACTAGGTTGATCCTGACTTCCTGACTTTAGGCCTTTAGAACCTGATCTGTCCTTCATGGAACAATACTGGGAATTTACCTAAGGCCTCCCATACACTAAGCAATATACTAGTCTACCACTGAGCAACATTCTGAACCCCTAGAAATATCTTTTCACAATGCTTTTTAACAGCAAATATAACAAGTCTACATTCTAGGCTATCAACCCATGTCAGCCATTTATCATATAGAATTGTCTAAGAAACACAATCTTTTTTTTTTGTAGCATATGTTTTGTGTTGATCCTTAGAAAATTTACCAATGTTGGACTGTTTTGACCTACAAAAGTGACAATCTTACATGTTTCAGCATAACTTTTACAATATTTTTAGCTATTGTTTTCGTAGGTGATATTTTTAGTACAATATTAAACCACAGGCACAAACTATTGATGGAGGACATTATATAAACTATCCACATGACCAATGTTTACGGTGCTCTAGGTTCTTCCAGCTTTTTTTCCTTATCAAAGGAACTATAGCAGTCTGGGCCTGAGATGATATAAAGAGTATTACTTATTTATTATATAATTTCTCTGTTAGAAGTACTAAACTGTATTTTCAGATTTAGTTTCTATAATGAACTGATGGATTAATATTTTTACCCAACTCAGAGTTGAAGAGATCAAAATTCAGAAACTGAGTAACTTACCCACATTCAGAACACCCATAGCCAAAAAATCCTGGCTTTAGAGGAAGGATTTCCCTGAAATCTGCTAGTATCTCCTAGATGGTAAAAATAAGTGTGTTTTAAATCATCAATAGAAAACCAGTTATAAGCTAAAATTTCTATTGTATTCATAAAAATTGAAATTTTCTATAGCCATAATTATATTATTTCTTTGGAATTCTGTTATAACAATAACAATTTGGATAAGATCATATAATATTTCTAAATAGAAAAGAAAAGAAAGTGAGAATCTGTTTTATAATAAATACAGTTTTGATAAATTTAATGACTTTAAATAGACATAGCTTTACCAAATGTGAGATTTTTTTAGAGCATCAGTTTTTTCCACATATTTTTAACACATTAGTAGAATAGTTCATATTTTATTCATATGCTAAATATAAATACTAGAGAAAGGAAGAAACTATAAAATCAAATCAAAAGAAATACTGAAATCAGAATGTTAAAACTAGAATATTTTGCTTCATTGATATTTCTCAGTCTCTAAGAAAGAAATCAGCAGCCTCATGCATGACACTGAGGAATATGTAATACATTAAGTCAATACACTAAGTAACATATTCTAAAGCACTAACCATGCACACAGATACCAGCCAGAGGAAAGAGTCAACACAAGTTACTGTTGTACCCAAAAGAAACACAAGGGCTCTCTTTGTACCATTTTATTTCATTTGTTTCTTCTTTCCTTCCCTTTGTCTTTCTTTCTTTCTTTCTTTCTTTCTTTCTTTCTTTCTTTCTTTCTTTCTTTCTTTCTTTCTTTCTTTCTTTC